GGATGGATGGATGGATGGATGGATGGATGGATGGATGGATGGATAAATGGATGGGTCGGTGGGTTTCAACATGCGGACAAATACTGTGGAAGCTTGATTCAGGTAGTAATTAACTGTTGTTTCAGGTTCTACATGTTTCTTAGGTGACATGTTGAGAGAGATCAAAAATATCTAAGAGTGAACATAAAAAGTGAAAACTTTTGTGGGTAGCATAACAAAGAGAAAGCCCCATCCGCCTAAGGAAGGAGGAAAATACAGTATTAGGGAAAACCAAGTCAAGAAAAATTAAATGTTAGACCTAGGGGGAAAAAAATTGAAGAAGGCAGATAAATTAGACAGAAAATTGCAAAAAAAGATGTACAAAAAGTTAGATTAATAATTGAAATCCTTTTTGCTTCAACTGCACAGAGTAACAACAAATCAACATCTTTTATCTTAGAGCAGAATCAGGATTTTTTTTTTGTCATGAATAAGAAATCAGGGTGGTGCCTTTTAAAGTCCAGGAAATCTGAGGAATGAATATGCAATACATGTTAATGAATATATTTTCAAAGCTGACATTCTTGTGTTTAAATGTCGTTTCTGATTGCTTTTTAACATCACATTTTGACATCAGGTTATTTGAAAAAAAAAAACTGTGCAGCACATGTATGGATCAGAATGGTTTCCCACTGACATTCACATTCCCAGTATGGAGCCATGAATGGCAAACAGAAGAAAATTCAGCAGCCAACCAGCTGCATAACTTGTGATTACTTGATTTACACTCTGGATTAGAGTGCTGAAACTGGCTCAGCTCAGTAAAAGCATTTACACATTCTGAGAGCTCAAGCTGTTTCCACCACATCCTTTTTTTTTGTTGAAAATCAATCAACTGTCAGTCTTTTTTTCAGTAAACTATATATATCTGAGACAAATAAAATCAACATTTCATGGATCTGAATGTAAAAAACCCAGATAGCATTTAGTATGAACATGAAGCAAAAAGCATAATTAGCTATATTTTAGTTTAATACCTTAAGAAGTCAGAAATGAATGCATCAATAAGCTTTTTTCAGTCAATGGCAGCATTCATTCTTCAGTTAGATATTAAAATATTATTAAAATAAGACTGTAATATAAATCATTTAGTCAAATCAGCGATTGCTAGACTTTTTACTGAAAAGTATTAGTAGATTTTTCTTCTGTGGGTTCAGGGATTTTCTAATTTCAGGACTACAGGTGAAAAAGAACTATTAATGAATAACTGGAGTGAAATTAGTTTTATTTCTTGATATTTTTTTCTATTTTATTAGTTTCATTTTGTATCCTAGTTGTGTCAGGAAGGACAGCTATAGGTGAGACTTTTCCAAGTCCGTGACCAAATCATAATACTTTGCTGTGGTGCCCCTGAATACACTTTAGAAGCTGAACACACCACATATAGGGGTCCTGTGGAGGTCTAAATTAGACAGTATTTGAAAAAATGCATCAACTGGCGTTCCATTCTGCACTTTCAGGGATCCAACATTAGATGTGCAAAGGAAACTTAGAAAATCGTTATCAGGACTTGTCTTTGCAGGGGAAAATGACCAGATTTTCGACTAAATTTGTACTATGTAGTGGTCCTACGGAGGTCTAAATGAGAAGCATGGCAGACACTGGAACAAAGACATTGTCTGGCCTTTCATTCTGCACCAACAATAGATGTGTAAAGGTGACAAGCAAATAACAAGCGGGTAAGTTAAAAAAAATAAAACAAATATTCTCCACCTGTTTCGGTTGTCTATGATTTCTAAAATATGACCAGACCCACATTCAGTTTTCAGTCAACCTCTAAACATCATTAATAGGTGGGTCATCAACTGATGGACCAAATGAGGACATGACCTGCACTTTCATCATACATCTTATCTTTAGAAGGAAGTAGTTCATAATGTGTGGATGTTTTTTTCATTGTTCAAAGCAACTCAACCAAGAGATGCAAAGCGTTATGTTGTCATATATCATTTACTGTATATTATATGGCTCTAATAAAGAGGAAGTAGAGGCTACAATCTAGCACTGACCAGGGATCAGTAGTGGAGGAATGTTGTAATAAGTGTAACGCTATCAGGGAAGTTTTTGTTCTGTTAACAGTTTAGATAGTATTACCGATGGTGCTTTAAGCCATGTTTTTGCGCATAATAGGAACACCTGGGAAGACGGTGACAGCAGAAACAGCTGATCAGTCATCCAACGTAAAAGTTTGCTACGATAGAGATGATTAGAAAAAAAAAATTCTATTTATTTTTTTTTTTTTTGCTGTTTCTATCAGGGGTTTTGGATGCAATTCTTTAAAATGTACATTAGACAAAGCTAATGGAAACACTCCTAAACAAAAAGGTAACAGTATGTCTTGTTTTACTTGTTCAATATGCAGAGTTTATTTTCCTGGATATTTTTGATCAAATGAAGAAGAACCAGCATTTCCAAAACAGTGATGTTTTATTAATAATAACCTGTTTAGAACACAAATGTTGCTCATGGGGAACCTTTTTTCATTTAATTTATTTCTTTAGCCAGTTACTCTGTTTCTTTAGTTTTCTGAACATTACCTCTTCTTTTACATCCTGTCACTTTCATTTTTTGCCGCTATGCTTCCTTTCATAGTGTTGTGTTTGTTAAAATAAAACAGATGTCCTTATTTAATTACTTTTGGCACAATAGGAAGCCGATTGTTTGCTTTAAGCACTGTCAGTTTGGGTATGCACATGTGCTGAAGGAATGGTTTATCTCAGTGTGTCTTTTTCTTTTTAACAGTGTAAGGATTAATCACACAAATCCTCCTATCAAATCAAGTCAAGGATGCCTAAGGAGTGGGAAGCAGAGACAGAGCAAAAATGATGATGTATGATCTGCAGCAGTTGCTTAGACAGTCTCTATAAATTCAATAAATGAGGGTTTATAGATTAAGTCAAGTACAGCCATTTTTAATGCAGCACTGATTTTTTTCTGACAAACACAGCAGCGAATAACAGGTACAAAATGTGTTGAGTAACATCAGATCTGGTATAATTTAATGCAATTTTAAGTGCATGCTTGTTTTATTCACCATTTTACACCTACCTGTCATGCCTGGAGGGGTTTTCAAAAATTTTCCATTGAAATTTTGAATCACCACATCACACTTCTCTGTCGACTCCATTCTGCAACAAAAAAAGGAAAGACGGTATCTGAAATAGTAAACACTAAAGATTTTCTGGTTCTGTAAAAGTGAATTCCCTGTGTGTGGATATGAATGCTTGCAGAAGCATCCAACATTTAAGTAAATGTGTAAACCCCTGCCAGTTATAGGATTAGTGCTGAGGTGTCTTTACCTGTAAAGAATATCTGTAGGTGTGTGTGTGTGCGTATGTGTGTGTGTCCTTTCAACGTTAAATGGGGTTTCCTCTCCTTTGTCCTAGTTTAAAAGCTCCATTCAGTCTGATCTGTTGTGTGTCATGTCCTCTTTGTTTGTCCCTATTCAGCTCTGCTCACCCAATCACAGCTCAATGACTAATTGCCTGCCTGGCAAGTAAAAGCTAGTGTGTTTGAAATGTGGTGACAGAGGGGACAAACTGTGTGTGTGTTTGGAGGGGAGGTTTGGAGCTGAATGTGAGTCTTGGGTCTCTCTTTGTACATTCGGTGACCCAGAATATATACTTGACTGCTTTCTAATCACTGGCACGCTCTATGGAGTAAGTGAGAGGAACACACATGCACACACATGAGACAAAGGAGTTAAAGGTGGAGAGGTAGACAGCTTTTTTCATTACAGCTCAAAGTTGTTTAGTAGTTCAAATAGAGACATTAAATCCATTTTACTTTACCTTTAATACAAAACTGTTTGGTGAAAAGGATTTTACATATCAGCTTGAGGTTGATCTAAGAAAACCAACGCTAAACTTTGTGCTTTATTTTTTCATAAAGTTAGACTAAAACAACTACATGGTTTCATGAAGACCATTTTTTTTCACTTTCCAAGCAAGCTTTTGTTAGAATGACATTATAATAACTTGTCCCTGAATTAATACACATAAAACTTAATCAATGGACACAATCTTTTTAAAATGCTGTCTTCATGGCCATTTTGAATAATGAAGTCTCCTTATTTTTTAGGTCTATGGAACATAACAAAGAGTCAGAGTTTTGATGTATTTTTGAGTGTGCATTTACCTTGCAAAGCCAACTCCTCTGCTCAAACCATTGGCATCCCTTAGTATTCGGGTGGAAATAACATGGCCAAAGGGCTTTAGCATGTTTTCCAGCTCCTGCTCATCCATCGACACAGGCAAGTTAGATATGTAGAGGTTCGTGGGGTCCTGCTCCTGTTGCTGTGGAGAGGCCATGGAAGGTGTTTAACATTTGATTCCAGAATGAAATTGAAATATAAATATTTCATCAAATCATATTTAGTGCAACCTGAAAAAAACAAAACAAAAAACAACTGCTGGTAAATTGCAAAAAAAAAAAAAAACAATTCTGTAAAGCAAGAAAGTTATGTATAATCCTATTCAAGATTAGAGTTTTAAGAAATATTTGTGTAAAGTATGTTAACAGTGAAGAAATACAGTGTCAATCATTTCACTGTCATGGCACTTGACACATTCTTTTCCCTTTCAAAAACTATAAAAATTAAATAAAAGCTTATTTGATTACTGTTGATGCACTGAAGGTTAAATTGTTTATTTGCATATGCATGACTGAATATTTCACAAAAAGAAAAGCAGTGAATTAAACCCAAGAGCTAAACTCCTAAGAGGGAATGAAAACTGTTTTGAAAATGCATGGCACTAATTCCACTCCAAAAACCCCTGAAGCAAGAAAGAAAAACCCCTATGGATCAAGAAATTCTATTAAAGCTTAAATAAATCTTTATATGATGAAGAGGAGAGCCTCCCTCTCAGGTGTCATTCAAAAGTTAAGCCACATACCTATACTGTTTGTTTTCTATTCTCCAAAACTCAATGCAAAGGGTTCATTGCATGAAAAATATTGCTATTTCTTTTTTTTTAAATAGGTTTATAAATTTACATCTATTTATTAAGAGGAAAGTGAAACCACTGTAAAATTCATTGCTTGGGTGTATAGACTGGTCTATTAATTCTGATTTAAATATTATTACTAACTTGTGTAAGTAATTCAAAATAAGGACTTTGCACTTTACCCAAGTTGCTATTCATTTTTTTTTTTTGTTTTTGGATAAAATGTTCCTTTGCCCCCGTTAGCCCTTTGGTCCTAGATCCGAGGTCAAAAGAGCAGTACAGAGTTTATACAATATGTTCATGAGGAAAGTATGAACAAAGACTAAATCAGTTAGCATGCACAGCAATACAAAGTTAGCAACTTTAATAAATCAATTTCAGAATGAAGATAACAGAAAAGACTGAGACTTAGCTTGTGATTTGCTAGATCAGTAAATGACATAGTATTACATACTATGTCCATTTCATTTGGTTTTAATACTAATAGGGCTAAAGTCAAATATGGTAAAATCTGATTCCATGTTATCTTTTAAAGCATAAAGGCTACATGTCCATACAATACAGTTTGAGAAGATTTTGGATAATTCCATAAAATCTAATTTTGTCTAAAAGTTTTTATTAAGCAACTCTGATTTTAAATCATTCATTTATCTCCAGATGAATGATTCTTTCAAAATCTCTTCCAGCAGACAGCTTCATTTTACAACAGGTATGAGATGCCTAAATTACAAAGGTTTAAAACAGAAAAGGGTAAAAATAACCAGCACCCTAGAGTGTGATGCATACATTGAGTGGCTAATTTAAGTCATTTGGAAACATGTGAGTCATCCAATCTATGTTCTGATAAATGAACATGTTCTGTTTCTGTGACATAAAAGTCATCATTTGGGCTTTTAAGACCTAAATATGTCTTTTATCTATAGTGGATTGGGTGATCTTTAAACAGAGAGAACTCAAAGCCAATAAGACTTCGACCAAAGCCATTCATATAAGACTCACTGCAGGTAGAACAGCTCCAGTGGAAAATTCTGCTCTACTTCACCTTTTCTTTTGAAATCTAAAAATCTAGAAGCAAGGTGCATGGCAGACAAGGATTTTCCTTTGTCAGGTTCCAATTTAATGACTGGAGCAGTTGTCTTCACGTATGGTGCAACTGGCTTTGAATATTATCTGCAGCTTTTGTGCACATGCTTGCGTGCGCTCACATAAAGACAAGCAGGGAACACATGAAAGAAGTAACATCAAAGTAGTCATGGAATATGTCACTGGTCCTAGAACCATCTTTATGAAAGAGTTACGTCACTGAAATCATTCTTGGTTCATCTTTTATGATTAAAGAGAAGCAGGTTTTGATACTTTTACACCAGGACCTTATAAAATGTTTCTGGAGCAGTCACAAGGTTAAATGTCAACCATGGGGCCATTTTGAACTATAACAGAAACTTTACTCATGGCTTCACTGAAAAAGGAATGAGTGAAAAAATCTTTTGTGTTGTTTTTATACAAACCCTACTCATATAAAGGTTAGGATAGTAAACTAAATAAGGCTATATATAATTTATCAGATAATTTTTGCTGGAATTCCAAATATAGTCAGATGGATTGTACCTTTAATTCTATTTATTAACAGATCATAGGGTGGTGGATTCTGTCCAACAAAAAATAATAAGTAAATAAAAACAAATCCAACAATGTCAACTATAAGCAGAAGGAATGACCATATAAAATCCAGCATGTTTTAATGTATAACTTTCCAATATCGTTTGTGGCACATCCATCCGGGTGCCTATCTTCAACAGCCATTGGGAGAGGGAGAGCACACCCTCTACTGGTATTCAGTCAATACGCCACTATACAGTAGCTGTACGTAAGAAACACATTCAGCCGTTGACTGGAACCTGTCAAATACGTCGATATGCGTTGGAGATAAGTTCTTGATAAGTTCCGCATAAGTTATGTACAAGTTACTCATAGGTTTTGGATAAGCTATACACCACAACTTATGAGTAACTTATACTTAACGTATGTCAACAATCAGATAACTTACCTGTAACTTATGGCCCACGTATGAGCATACGCTGGCATAGGTCAGAACTTACTTGCCGTATGTCGACTGTGCCTGTGAGCTTCAGCGTACTTCAGCTCTTAACTGATAAAAAACATACGCATAACTTATCCAATGTATGTCAGCATTTTTGCCATATTTTCCGTACATCAGGCGTACCACTGTTTAAATCGTCCAAATGTGACAGGGGCAGAAAAGTGACCCTTACGTTAACCATTACGAGTTCATACCTAACCCTAATACTAACCTAAACTCAATTCACACCTTAGTCCTAAACCTAACACCTAAATTTAATACAGCATCTGTAACCATGGGGACCAGAGATTGATCCCCACTAGAGCACTCAGTCCCCATGATGTGCTAAGATTGATGGAAAATGGTCCCTACCATGTAATTAATACACGCCCAAATCCAAACACACAAAGGCAATTTAATGGACCAACTACACTTACCCAGAACCCACAGTTGCACACCTAATGAAGAGTCAAGATCAGGATTTAAAAACAGGTCCTTGGTGATGCAAGGCCACAGTGCTACCAGCTCCATTACCATGCAAGCCTTAGTGGTACATCCTTATCAACATTTTGTTTCTCAAGGCCTCTTTGTTATAAACAGTTCATATTATACTTGTTTAGATAATTACTCCATATTACTGTTAAAACAAGCGGTTGATACTAAATTGTTATTTATGTTTCTTTTCATAGTCAGTAAAGTATTTTTCAATTGATCTGAAGGAAATTAATACAACCTAAATGCAGGCGTACCAGACGCTGCTGCAAGAGGACCAGCCAGTACACTGTAACAAAGAAGCATGAGTAGATATAAGAGAGTTTTAGAAATACCTATTGAAAGAAAAATGATATTTATTTACAGATCAACTGTTTCAATTTTTTACAGAATTACGAGATAAAAACCTTTGGCTTGCTTTTAACGGTCAGATCAACTGGATATTTGAAATCTTATTCCAAATTCAGAGTGTACATTTTGATTTAAACAAAGAGAACTTTTATGCTACTCTATAAATTTGAAGAATATGGAGATTCTTGAAAATGTGAATAACCATTACAAAAAACAGCTAATAGGGCTTAATAGGGTTTATGGTGAGAAACCAGGTCATCTGCGTGTGTCACAGTTAACGCAGATATGCCCTCGCCCCTTCCGCAGAGACTCTGGTGCACCTCTCCAAAATTGTAGGTGACCACAGACAGTGCCGCAGACAGGAGGCCTCTGATTGGTCAAATCTACATCCGCTCTACACTATGCGTATTACCTATTTGGTACCTTACCGGCTTGTTTTGTTTGTATGACAGCCATTTTGGAAAAAGACTTGTCAAGATGGACGAGCTAGAAGAGCGAGGTGCGCGAGAACTCTGGGACCCTTTTTCCACCTGGATTCTCGCTCTTTTCTGCCCTCATATCCTGCACAAACGGCCCTTGAGTTTTTCCACTTTCTCAGCCGTATGTAGACCCACAGCTAGTTCATGATTGTCCCTCTTGCGTTGTGGCGTGGAATAACAGCGCACACCAGGCTTCAAAATTGGGCATAAATCAAAAATATCTACATCATACTTGGGACAAGCTCACTGCAACACTCTGCTGCTAGAGTATAACCAGACATTTATGTTTAAGAGGCCATCACTGAACAATTCCTGCCCCTGGTTCCTTTAAGTTTTGTATTCATTGCTGTGTATTTCACTCTTAGTGTGGGACAAAACCTCAAGGCACTGTAGACTTTTAAATGTTTTTTAAAAGTTTTCTTGACTTTGATTAAAGTTGCTGTTTGCACAAAGTTATCTCACGGTGATCTCTCACTCTGCAGGTTGCAAATTAGTCACTCTTTCTCCCTCTGTCCCCTTTATGGCTCTGTTTCTTTGTCGCTCTGCCTTTTTTGTAACATCTGTCATGCTTTGGAAACAGCTTCAGACCAACTGTGCTGCTCCTTTACTGTGTTTGGCCTTCCAACCAGCAAGTCAGCTAGTGTTTTCAGCCCCATTAAACTTCAATGCTGCATCATTATAGATGGTCTGTACATCTTATCCTGCTATTTCCTAGTTACCCCCACCATCCTGCAACACCTGCTGATGATATAGAGGGTAAAGCGAGGGCAAAGCTGTGGTTTAATACCCACTAAAATTGGCAGTTTTGTTTGTATGCCAGAACGCATGAATGTGAGGTGAGACAGTACTTGAAAATCCCATTTGGTAGACTTTCTGCTGTCATCTCAAAGAGAAACCCTTAGAATCGGAAATCAGCCTCTCGTAGCACTGGTAGGGATGAGCAGGTA